TCTCAGAGCACTCAAATGACAGCATGAATGGAGCTATTACTATTTTAAATACTTAGTTGCCTTGTTGAGAGCTCTTGTGGTAGAGTCCATAGTGAGTTGTGGTGCTATGTGACTAGTCCATGAGAGGCTCCTTCAGAGAAAGATGGGCAATTTCCTTTCAGGCAGTCTCTTCCTGTTTTGATTTACACCTTTGGTAATCCAATGGAGGGTCACTATGAGTTGAACTGACTCTAAAGCAGTGAGTTTTTTAGTTGCTGCTTGCTTTTGTTGTGCCTTCCCTGTGTGGGTTTGATATACTTTAAGTCTTTTTTTTCTAGACAATCAGGTATGGCTTAGTTCTAAAGGATACAGCGTGGCTCATGGGAAATGGGCTTCCATTGTCCTTCTGTCTATGAAAGCACAACCTTTTCTCAAGGATATAACTTCTTGCCTTTAGAGATTGAGTTGCTAGCCAGATGACATGCATATGGGTCAGGTGCCAGCCCCTGCCCTGTCAAATTCTAGAAGGCACAGTAAAAATTTGCTCTTTTACAGTTTCCTGCAGTTTGGTTCAGTGGTAGGATTTTCTTGGCCAGTTCACTTCCTATATAGCCATCACCTCTGTCAGTCAAGGCTTTTGTGCTGCTCCTGTGATACTGAACAGGTTTTAGAGGAGCTTGCAGGCTAACTTGTTTGCTCATCTGTTTAAATAGAAGCAGAGTAAAGTTTAGATGTTTCCTTTGATTGGTATGTCTCCTAAGTCTCTTCTAATTGCTACTCTTCTTGTAATACTCTTTTATTTGTTAAAGACAGTGGATAATTTGGCCTGCAGAATTTTCTGTGTCCAAGATTTTGCTGATTGCAGGCTATTAGCATGATTTAATATACTGGCATATCCCTTTATCCCCTGAATTTCCTGTAAATTATAATTAGATCTGGAGGCCTGATTCAATTTCTTTTTCTTTTTCAGTCAAGAATAGTTTATAGGTGACAGTCTGCATCTCCTATTGCCTCACATCAGGAGGCATGTAATAGGTTGTTTCCATTTTAGTGATGTTAAAATTGATCAGTGGTTCTCAGGTCCAGTCAGATTTATCTATCATTTTAAAGTTCCCCACCAACCTTTCACATAATGCTTTTAGCTGCCATTAGTAATTGTTGTCCAGGTCTGTTACTTTGTTAGAGGTTGAAGAATGTTGATTTTTCTAATTTTAGCTTTTGTTGCTAAAATATTTCTGTAATGACATCTTCCTATAAAATCTTTCCCTTAGTAAGTGGTTAGTTACCTTGAAAAAAAATCGTACAGAAAATTCAGACTCAGTGTTTCAGTTTTCCCTTTGTGTGTCAGTTTTCAAAATAACAAGTTGTTCATTAGAAATTTCAGAATTAAGAGTTGCTCTAGATAAAGGTGTCCTTTTTATTCTTGGAAGAAGAGCCTTTCAAATGCATTGTTGGTCTTTTCTCGGCAACTGACATTTTCCAGAGAAAGAATTTCCTGTCTTAGAGGGGTGTGTGTGTCTCTGTGTGTGTGTCTTGTCTGAGGGTAGGAGTGGGGGTGTATGATTTCCTGGCTTGTTATTTTTTTTTCTCTCTCATTTTAGAATCTGACTATTTGCACTTCATACCTAGTCTTACTTAGAAGTAGGGATGTTGCCACATTGATTTTCTTCCTTTTGTCCATTTACAATGAAGGCCATTTTCTCTAGTAGGTATTTATAACTATTCTGACATTATCGACTGCTCAGTTGGAAGCTTATACTATAAGAGATAATTTATTTTTAGCTGAAGAACCAAGGACTTTTATATGCATAGAAAGATAAACAGATCAGGCAAAGGAGGGAGATTAGGACAGATTAAGTGTGACTGAGGGAGACTGTGGTGTTTGCATTGATGGCACAACAGAAGAAACTGTTATTATTAGGTAAGTGGTAAATCTCAATATGCTAAGTGACGTTATAGGAGGTGGAATTTCAGAGTGCTATTTCCAAGCAGAATGTCCTAGTCATTTGCACTGGAGGATTCTAAAATCTAGTAAGACTGCTTATTAGATTTTAAAGGGGCTGCCTTCCCACAAACCTACCATCAGGTGGGCCATTATGGGGAAGGCAGAATGAGATTTGTACTGACAGGACAAGTTGGATAACACTCTGTGGAGAAATCAGTTCTGGAAACATGACATGAAAAAGAGAAAATCTCATTGCTATCAAGTTGATTCTCACTGAAAGTGACTCTATACGACAGAGCAGAACTGCCCTGTAAGGTTTCCAAGGCTATAAATCTTCACAGAAGCACATGCTATATCTACCTCCTGTTAATCAACTGGCAGGTTTCAGCTGCCAACCTTTCAGTTATCAGCCAAACACATAACCACTAATTTTTTTGGTGACAGGTTTAGTTTGAACCATTCAGGGGTTTCATACTTGAGGACGAGGGTTGCTTATGACCAGCGTAACATTATTTGATTTGAATCTGTTTTTGAGGATAGACTAGGGCTATTTATGACAGCTTCAGTATAGCTTTTTTTGTCATGCTGGGGCTGAGATTCAGTGAACTACATGTATCTTTTGCTAACTGGTGACCTATTGGTTAGAAGCTGTGCTGCAGTCCCAAAGGCATGCGGTTCAAATCCACCAGATGATCTGCAGAATGATGAGCAGTCTCCTCTCATGTGATTTATTGCCTCTGAAAATCTGCTGGAGAGTCAGCTATGACATGATGGCATGATGGCAAACAACAGCAGCAGCAACAACAACAACTTAGCTAATGCTGCTCTGACAGAAATACCAGAAGCAGGTGACATTTACAAACAGATTTATTATCTTAACTTTTGAGAATCCTGTAAGTTTTAATTCAAGGTGCTAGCTCTAGAGGAAGATTTTCTCTGTATGTTTTGGGGTCAGGGTTATTCATCACTTGACATTTCCCTTCCCTCACCTTTATGCTTCTGTGTGCCTAATCTGGAAGAAGACTCATCAACAACCTGTATTGAAGAGCAGTGGTGGTATCACTTTGGAGACTAAGGTGCACCTGGTACAAGCCATGGTCTATGCAATCACTGCTGTGCGTAAGAGAGCTGAACAATGACTCCCTAGTCATTGATTGATGAGAATTGATGCCTTTGAGTTGAGTTGTGGTGTTGGATAAGAGTATTGAATATAGCAGGGACAGCTAAGAAAATGAACAGGTTCATCCTGGAGAGGGTTAAACCAGGCTGCTCCTTGGAGGCAAGGATTCTGAAGCTTTGTCTGATGACATACTTTGGAAATGTTGCAAGGAGGGATCAGTCCTTGGAGAAGGACATCATGCTTGGGAGGGTGGAGGGACAGCACAGGAGAGGAAGACCCTCTATGAAGTGGATTGATTCAGTAATTGGAGTAATCAGGGTGGGTGTGTTGGAGACAGTGAGATTGGCACAGGAGCAGAGTTTCATATTTGTACATAGGGTCACTATGAGTCTCAGGTGACTCAACAGCTCATAGCAACAACAAGGCATACTCTTCAAATTCACCAGATACCCACCCCATGGAGAAAGGATGGGCAGTCTCCTCTCATGTGATTTACTGCCTTTGAAAACCCCCTGAAGAATCAGCTATGAGTCATTTCCGTTGCAAAAGCATAAACAACAGCCACATGCCAAAAAGTAGGAAACTCTGATGGCCTAGTGGTAAGAAACTGCTCTGAAATTTCAAAGTCACACAGTTTGAATTTACATGCTGCTCTGTGGGAGAAGGATGAGCAGTGTTTCATTTCATTGGGCATGAGGCACCATGAGTTAGGATCAACTCAACAAACAGTTCTTCACGTAAAACCAATCAATAAAGTTACCATACTAAGAATATGAATTTTTTAAAGTTGTGCTGCCAACTCAAAAGACACACCATTTGCATCCACCAGCTGCTCCTTTGGAGAAAAAATTGGCAATCTCCTGTGCAATTTACGGCCTTTGAAAACCCACGGAAAAGTCAGCTATGAGTCACTTTCAACTCTAAGGTACATAATAACATGTCAGAAAGTTGTCTAATTAGTTAATATATGTACAGATCTTAAACTGATGTTTAATACACAATACTCCACTATTATCTAATTCACTATTCATTCATTCATTCATTTATTTTAGTTGTTGTTGTGTTCTGTCAAATCAGATCTGACTAGCACAGAGGAGATTGCCCCTCCTTCTCCAGCAGAGCGTCTGGTAGATTAGAATCTGTGCCTTTGGGATTGTAGCACAGTTTTTTGCCACTGGGCCACCAGAGCTCCCTTCTAATTCACATTTTAAATGAACACTTCAGATTTAAGTTATTCTTTTTCAAAAAGACAATTTTGTGGACTTCCACTCCATGTTCAGATTATGGACCTTGGAAAAATTTCAAACCTGCAACTGAAATAACCCTTTTTGACTCAACTTTCTAAACAATAGGCACACTTACAAGGTGATCAAAAACACCAGGAATGAATGCATGCCTTAAAACAATAATCCATACAAAGGGGTAACATTTGCCCAAGGATAAAGCTTAGAAAGCAGGAAGAAGATATGAAAAAAGCGATGAATGGAAGCAAGAAACACAGAGAGGAAGAGGGATGAATGCTGTTAAAATATAGGGACTGTAATCAGTGTCACAAAACATGTTTATGAATTGTTGAACAGAAAACCAGTTTATTCTGTAAACTTTCATTTAAATAACAATAAAAAGTTAAGAACAAGACAAAATACTTTTCTTTCCAGCTTATGAGATCATCTTTACTCTGTCATACTTTTCCTTTTAGCCCATGTGAAGGTGAAGGTAGACCTCTGTATGTGATTGAGTCAAGTAAAGATCAAAAACTTTGAATTTTTTGCCTTTTCTTTGCTTGAGTCTTAGGAATAGCACCTTCAAATCATGAATAGTTTTGGACTTGAAGCAATATATTGTTAACTCTCCTCAATTATTTTCTTTTGAAGTTACAATTTTATAAGCCACATTGATCTTTTTCACAGTGTTTTTAAGTATATGGGAATGAATAGTTACTTCTTTCTTTACTAGACATTCACAAAGGAGTGGGCTGATATTTTAAACCACAAAAGTAAGCGTGTGGAAGAATCTGTAAGAGAACTTATAACAATATTTGAGAAAATTTATGAAGTTAAGTACAGTGGAAAACCAGCAAAACAGCCAGGTAATTTCTTTTGTGCAAGTACTACAGATATGTGGGTACTTTGTTCATTATCATCATCACTCTTCTGTGATATGGCCTAGTACATATGATTTTGTGTCTTCTTCAAGGAAAGGTACTGTGCCTTAATTATTATTATAATAATTATAATTTATTTGATTCTCACAATTTTAATATTATGCTAGTTGCTATTTTGCACCATAGAGTTGCAACTGACTCATAGCTGACCCTACAGTGGGTTTTCAGAGACAATTAATCACTTAACAGGAGACTACTCATCCTTCTTCTTCGGAGCAGCTGGTGGACTCAAACCATGGGCTTTCAGATTTACAGTAAAGCTTCTTGCCTCTAGACCACCAGAGCTTCCTATATTATGCCTGTATTATTATATTGTGCGTGGCACATAATAAATCTGAGTCATATCTTTAAATTATTTAAGAGTATTTTTGCATCTCATAATATTGTAGCCATGGGTAGGGACTGTGGAATAAACAGACAAAGATTCAAATCCACACATTGCCATTTCATTCTGCTTTTTGTCCTCAGAGAGATACATAAACTCTCTGTCATCCCATCAAGGACAGCTTACATGAAGAAGAAAAAAAAGACCAAAATGAATTTTACAAGAGACTCTAAAACTTACTCTTAAATGGAGAGAAGCGAAATCTAAAGGCAAAAATCATGAAGGGAGCTAAACAGATAATTCCAAAATTTTTTGTTGTTGTCAAAAAGACAAAACAAAGCATTAGAACTAAATTTGCAAAGAATTGGAGTAAGAAAACCAAAAGGGAAGAACATGCATTTCTCAAGCTGAGGAAAGTGAAGGAAAAAAATTGAATATTGAGTTATTATACAGAAGGAATTTGTTGGCAAAATAACTTATTCCAATTCTAAAAGTAGGTGATTGAACAGAATGCAGAAATTATCAAACAATATCATTAGTATCACATGCAAGTAAAATCTAGTGGAAGATTGTTTAAAAAATGACTGAAACAATACATCAACAGAGAACTTTCAGAAATTCAAGCCGGTTTCTGAAGAAGTCATGGAAGAAGGGATCTAATTGCTGATATCAGATTTATCTTAGATGAAAACCGTTTACTTGTATTTTATTGATTGTGCAAAGACATTCAACTATGTGGATTGTATTAAATTATGACTGTCATTGAGAAGAATGGGAATTCCAGAACACTTAATTGTGTTCACACTGAAGATCCGAAGACTACAGCCTTCAATGTGAATTACATCTCACTATAAAGAAAACAGAACTCTTCATAACGGAATAGGCAACATCATGATAGATGAGGAAAAGATTAAAGGTGTTCAGGATTTTATTTAACTTGGATCCACTATCAACACTCCTGGAAGCAGTAGTCAAGAAATGAAGAGATTTGCTTCATAAGGAAAATCTGTTCTGTTGTTAAAGATCTCTTTAAAATGCTAAAGAGCAAGCAAGTTTAAAGACTAAGGTGTGCTTGACTCAAGTCACGTATTTTCAGTTGCTTCACTTTGGACAAAGCAGAAGGAAAAGAAAAATACTAATGCCTTTGAATTGTGGCATTGGTGAAAATTTTGAGTATATCATGAATTGCTATAGAACAAAGAAATTGGTTTTGGAGAAAGTACAACCAGGGTGCCTCTTAGAGGCAAGGATGGTGTGAAACTTCCTCATATATTTTGAGCATGTTGTCAGGAGGGGCTAATTCTTAGAAAAGCGAATTACACTTGGAGGAGTAGGGAATTCCACTGGGCTAGTCGATAAACAGTTGTGCTGCCAACTCAGCAGCTGCTCTGTGAAGAAAGATGAACGATCTCCTCCTGTGCGATTTAAAATTTCTGAAGAACTGCTGAAAGGTCAACTGTGAATTGGTTCTGACACAATGGCAATGAGATGAGTTGAGGAAAAGTAGAGAGTCAGCAAAAGAGAGGAAGACCTTTGAGATGAATTGACACAGTGACTACAACAGTGTGCTTAAGCATGGTGGGGATTGTGAGGATGGTTCAAGATAGGACAAAGTTTTACTCTGTTGTTCATAGAGTCATTATGTGTCATAGTTAGTTTGAGGGCACCTAAAAACAACTGACCTCATTTTTCATCTGTATGAGGATACCAGTTTCACAATTGTTGTGGATATGCAGGACAGATCATTCAGGAGGCGGGTTTATATAAGAAAAGTGGGATCAGAATTGGAGTAAGAAACATCAACAGCTTATGTTATGCAGATGACAGAACCTTGCTTGCTGAAACTGAGGAGGACTTGAAGCATCTGCTGTAGAAGGCCAAAGACTGCAGTCTCCAGTATGAATTGAAGCTCAATATTAAGAAAAGAAAGATTCTTACCATTGAGGCAATTGGCAGCACCATGATAGCTACAGAAGAGATTGAGATTGTTAACAATTTCAGCTTGCTCAGGTCCACAATTAACACAGTTGGAAATAGCAACCAGGAAATCAAAAGATAGATTACACTAGGAAAATCTGCTGTTAAGGACCTCTCCAGAGTGCTAACATGCAAATCTATCACTCCAGAGACTAAGATTCAGGCCATGGTCTTTGCAGTTACTTGCTGTGTATCAGAGAATTAGACAATGAATAAGGTGAAAGAAGAATTGAAGCCTTTGAGTTGCGGTGCTGAGGAAGAGTTTTGAATAAATACCATGGACTGCCAAAAGAACAAACAAGTCTATCCTGGAGAGGGTAGAATCAAGTTGCTCTCTGGAGGTCATGAATTTTGAAGTTCTGTCTCACATACTTTCAGCATGGTGCCAGGAAGGACGAGTCCTTTGAGAAGGACATCATGCTTAGAAGGGTCTTCTGTTCTTTTTTAACCCTCTACCTTTCTAAGCATGAGTTCCCTTTCCAAGGAATAGTTTCTCTTTCGACATGCTTTTTAGTAGGAAGTAGGGGACTTTAAGAAAAAATGTCTTAATATACTTATTTTAGGCATAGGATTTTTCAACCCCAACATTATTAATGTTTTAGACTGGCTACATCTTTGTTGCTGGAGATTCTGTTTATCATAAGGTGCAAAAAATAGGTGTGCAACTTAATACTGGCTTCCTGCTACCTAGATTATTGTATAAGAAAGTAGAATTATAGTTTATGTCATATTATCTTGTCCTTGGTTGAACCTGAAAAGAAAAATTTAATTGAATTTTACAGTTTTGCAATTAGACGTTTTCCTTGTTAGTCTTATAAGGATACATGCTTGCCATTCATGAAGTCTATTTGCCAAATAATCTGCTCTTCTAACCTCTCCCTGCTCAGGTAAGTGGCATTAGAATATGTTTGCATAGGGCTGACTACTGATTGGATCATAGGATCCAAGGAGATCCAAGAGATGACTCTGCCTAATAGGGGGGAGGTAAATGACCTAATATACCATCTTTTTTTGGGTTTGAACTGGAAAATAATTTTTTAAAATCAATGCAGATAGGAGAGATTTCATGAAAGTGATATTATAAGGTGAAAGAGAAAAGAGACAGAAATCTGTGACCAAAATATTAATCCTCAAAGGAGAGGGAGGTGTTTGCTCCTTGGAGCCATCTGACAATATTGGGAGACAATTTTTAGTTGTTACGCAATTTGAGGAGTTGTTGGATGAAGAGAGAAATGCTGCTGAATGTGTGAAAAAATATCTGGACCCAAATGTCCTTTGGACTGAGGTTGCAAAACCTTGAGTGTGGAAATCAGTATGCATAGCATGTCTTCATTCTCTTAAAAAAATTTCTTATTTGGTAATTTAATTGGTTTTTCTTTAACAGTATCAAAACCACAAAAATAACTGCCTCTAAAGTTATCCACATAAAAAAGTAAACAGATAATGTACAGAGATAATTTGAGGAAATGCTTGTAGAATATTTCTTAATTCTAGATACTGAGATGGTTGGAGAGATACTGACACAAATATATTTTGTAATAGGATGACTGTTCTATTAAAAGGAATGATTGAAGTGGAATTTAAGGATGACTCTTGCAGGATAAAAGTGTAAATGTTTAAAGTAAGAGCTTTAAAAGGAGCTTTCTAAGAAACTTGAGCCATATAGAATAAGCCATGTGCTAAAAACTAAGTGATATATTTTTATTTTGTCTTTTATCTTTAGAACTTAAAAAACGCGTTGTTTTTGGAAATGAAATAGAAAATAATGAAAATCCTGAATATGAATCTCACATTGTGAGTGAAGATGCTAATGATAAAGAAGATGAATTTAAAAAGGTATTTATTTAGTGCAACAGTGAATGAATGGAAATCCAAAATCTTGGTAAATGTTCATTAAAATTAATAAAATTTAATAAAAAAATAAAAAAAAGATATTTATTGTGAAACTAATTCATGGAATTTCTGAATGAGACTTGGGATTAAGATTACTATTTTTTCCATGTAGATCTGCACCTAATCTGCATGTAAATCCAGAGGATATAGGTTTCAATTTTTACTATAGAATCTGAAAAAAAAACCACCACGCAAAACAATCTATATTTGTTCCTCAACACTGTCACCTTTTGATGGAATTATATTGAATATATATCTTTAGTTAGTTCTTACTGTGGTTGACCATGGTATTTTTTAAAAAAAATATAGTAAATATCACTTCTGGTATTGGAAATAATCCTGCTGACAATTGTCAAGAGCTTTTAGATTGGGACAGATAGGCAAAGAAAAAGGATCGTAAGGTGTACTTCTAAAAAACCAAATAGCAACAAATCTTTGTCTGATATAATGCTGAAAGTTGAGCCCGTTAGGCTGGAAGACACTGTAAATATTCTTGTGGAAGAACTTAATGATGTGGATGGAATAAAGCTTTCAAAACCTTCATTTGCTTATGTAACACAATTCAAAATGAGGAGCAACTGCTATGAATATCCATTAATAATTGGAACATAGACTGTATGAAATATGAATCTAGGAAAATTTGGTTACTTTTGTTATGTGCTGTTGAGTCAGAACCGACTTATAGCTGACCTTGCAGGAATTCTTGGAGGCTGTAAATCAAAGAGAAGGAGATTGTCTATCTTTTTCTCACAGAGGAGCTGGTAAATTTGAACCACAGGAAATGCAGTGCATAAAGATCAATATCCTAGGAATAAGTGGGCAGAGATGGACTAGTAGTGGTTATTTAAAATGTTAGGAATCAAATAGATTACATTTGTGGAAAGACTCGTTGGAGAAACTTGTTATCAGCTGTGAAAACCATGCCAGGTGCTGATTGTGGAACAGACCACCAACTACTCACTCATATGCAAGTTCAAACTGAAGTTGAGGAAAATGAAATAAAATCCACAGGAACCAAAATTTGACCTTGATTCTGCCCCACTCAAATTTCAAAATCATCTCAGGAACAGGTTTGAGGCCTTGAGCACCAGTGAGCGTAGACCAAATGAGCTGTGGGAGAATGTAAAGAAAATCGTCAATGAAGAATGCAAAAAGGTCATTATAAAGGCTGAAGAAGAATAAAAGACCAAGATGGATGTCTGATGAGACTCTGAGTATTGGATTAGAGCACCAAAACAGTGCTGAACAGAAAATTTCAAAAGGTAGCTCGGGATGACAAAGCAAGATACTATAATAAAATGGGCAGAGAGCTGGAGTCAGAAAATCAAAAGGGCCAAACTCACTCTGCATTTCTTAAGCTGAAGGAGTTGAAAATTTAAGCTATGGGTGGCAATACTTAAGGATACTTTGGGTAGAATGTTAAATGATTCAGGAAGCATTAGAAGAAGTTGGAAGGAGTACACAGAGTCACTGTATCAGATGGAATTGGCTGATGTAGAAGAATTTTATGAAATAAAATATGAGCAAGAGCCTGTGATGAAGGAGGAAGTTCAAATTGCTCTGAAGGAATTGGCAAAAAACAAGTCTCCAGGAGTTGACGGCATACCAATTGACATATTTCAACAAACAGATGCTGCCCTAAATGTGCTCACTAACTTGTGCCAAGAAATCTGGAGGACAGCCAGCTGGCCAACTGACTGAAAAAGATCAATATTTGTTCCCATTCCAAAGAAAGGTGACCCAACAGAGTGCAGAAATTATTGAAAAATGTCATTAATATCACATGGAAGCAAGATTCTGCTGAAAATTATCCAAAAACATTTGGAATAATATGTCAACAGAGAACTTCCAGATGTGCAGGCTGGATTTAGAAAAGGTCGTGGTATTAGGGATATTATAGCTAATGTTAGATGGATCTCGGCAGAAAGCAAAGAATACCAGAAGAATGTCTCTGTGTGCTTCATTGACTATGCAAAGACTTTTGACTGTGTGGATCACAAGAAGCTGTGGCTGTCTCTGAGAAGAATGGGAATTCCAGAACATTTTATTTTGCTAATGCGAAACCTATACTTGGACCAAGAGGCAGTCATCAGAATGAGCAAGGAGACACAACATGGTTCAAAATCAAGAAGGGTGTCCGTCAGGGATGTATTTTGTCTCCATAGCTTTTCAATTTGTATGTAGAACAGATCATCTGAGATGCTGGGCTGTACAAAGAGGAATGTGGCATCAGGATTGGTGAACGATTCATCAACAACCTGAGTTATGCAGATGACACAACCCTGCTTGCTAAAACTGAAAAGGACCTGAAGTACTTGCTGCAGAAGGTCAAGGACTGCAGCCTTCAATACAGATGGAAGCTCAACATCAAGAAAACAAAGATTCTCACCACTGGGCCAGTTGGCAACATCAGTGTGAATGGTGAAGAGATTGAGATAGCTAACAGTTTTAGTCAATATTCTTGGTAACAGCAGCCAGGAAATCAAGAGATGAATTGCATTGGGAAAGTCAGCTGTGAGGGACCTCTCAAGAGTACTGAAGAGCAACAACATCAGGCTGGAGACTTAAGGTGCACCTGATCCAGGCTCTAGTTTTTGCAGTTATCAGAGAGTTGGACAGTGACTGGGGATGATAAAGAATTGATGCCTTTGAGCTATGGTGCTGGAGAAGAGTGTTGAATATATCATGGACTGCTAGGAGAACAAATAACTTTGTCCTGGAGAGGGTGAAGCTGAGCCGCTCCTTGGAGGCAAGGATTCTGAGGCTTTATCTGACATACTTTGGGCATGTTGCAAGGAGGGACTGGTCCTTGGAGAGGCACATCATGTTTGGGAGAGTGGAGGGATGGTGCAGGAGAGGAAGACCCTCGATGAGATGGATCGATTCTGTGCATGAAATGGTGGGAATGAGTATATTTGAGACGGTGAGGTTGGCACAGGATAGAACAGCCTTTAGTGCTCTTGTACATAGTGTCGCTATGAGTCGCAAACGACTCGATGGCACATAACAATAACAACAACAGTGGCATAGTCTGTAGGGAGTTGTACTGCTAATCCAATGGCAGGGCCTTTTGCTAGTTTAAATCTCTGGGTGCCTCTGAGGACGAAAGATGGACAGTCTCCTCCAGATAATGTGTATAGTCTCTAAAAACTTGCGGGAGGGTCAGCTATTAGTTTGTTCTGACTCCACAGTGCAAATAAATATTTTTTTTAAAATTATTATATTGTTGTTATGTATGGTCAAGTTGGAATTGACTCATAGCTCACCCTCCAGTGGGTTTTCAGAGGCAATAAACTGCATGTGAGAAGATTGTCCATCTTTCTCCTGGTGAGCAGCTGGTAGATTTGAACTGCCTGTCTTTGGGCTCCATCAGGGATGACAGACTGATAATTACATCACATACACTGACAAAGACAACATTTTAAAATCTGTCTTGAAGTACATTGTTGTAATAAGATAAAATATAAGGAGCTTTTGTGGTAAAGTTTATATGGTGTTGGGCTGCTTATCATGTGTTGATCAGCAGTTTGAATTTACCTGCCACTCCATTTGATAAAGTCATTCTCCTCCTGAAAGGATTTACAGCATTGCAAACTCAATGATGGGTTACTCTGAGTCAGAATTAACTAGACAGTTAACTACTAGACAGTAGTAAATTTGGTTTGATTTGAGTTTAGAAGGAATACCAGTTAAAACAACTATTATACAGATTTATGTATAAACAAACCACTAAGTCAGTGGTGAAGAAATTGGGGATTTATATTACCTTATGAAGTCTGAAATTGTAAGTTCAACCAGTGTGCATCAATATTTGCTGGTGAATGGAAATAAAAAAAGCTGGAAAGAAAGGTCGATTGTTAGAAAATATGGTCATGGTGATAGAAGTGACATGGAGATCACATAATAGGACTTTGTAAGATTTCTTCTTAAATATGCCTTTTAAAGACAACATAAATAGCAGGTATGCACAGGAACCTTAACAGATAGAAACCCAGGAATCAAAGTAGTGTGTATCTGTGTGGACAGATGTAGAATTTCAATGTCATCAAGAACAAAGCCAGTTGTGTATACTGCACTGAAACAGATGAGGGAGTGAATAATTTAAAAGCGATGTATGATAGGGTCTTATGGTTATCACAGGAGTCCACAAAAGGTTGCATAGTGGAATGTACTTGGGGCGGTGGGAGGGGTGTGGGGAGATTGTGTACCAGGGAAGGAGTGTTTCTTTTACTTTTGAAAGAGAGGAGCGAACTTGGGGGCGGGGAGGGATGGGCGGGGAGAGAAGTACAGCAATGAATGAATGGAAATCCAAAATCTCTGTAAATGCTCATTAAAATTATTTTTTTTAAAAAAAAAGAAATACAAGCAGGGTTTAGAAGAGGTCGTGGCATTAAGGACAATATCACCAATGTCAGATGGATCTTGACTGAAAGCAAAGAGTTATCAGAGGAATATAAAAAAAAAAGGACAAAGCCAGGAACTAACAGCACAGTATACATCAATTGTTCAAGTTGAAGTTGAAGAAAATGAAAGTTCGTGACAGACCAACTATACAACCTGAGATATTCCACTTGAATTTAGAGACAATCTCAAGAATATATTCAATGCATTGAACACTAATGACCAAAGACCAGATGAATGTTGGATGACAACAAGGACTCATAAATAAAGCAAGCAAAAATTCATTAAAAAGACAGAAAGGAAGTGAAATACTAAAACTAATTTTGGAAGAGCCTCTGAAACGTACTTTGAATGTAAAAGAAGCTATAGCATAGGGAAGAAATGATGAAAAGGGCTGGACAGGAAATTTAAATGGGCAGCTTGAGAAGACAAAGTATTATAAGGAAATGTGAAAAATTTGGCATTAGTAAACCACAAGGAAAGGAATGTGCTTGATATTTTTCAAGCTGAAGGAGCTGAAGAAGAGATTCTAGCCTTAAATT